AGTGTTTTAACCTGCTTACCAATATGTAGCTGGACGAACAGGTATAGAATGTACTAGTATTGTAATTACCTGTATTCCAATTAGGGGGAAAAAACCATACTTCAATAATACTCAAACCCATCAGATGGAGTAGATTAGTGCCTTACACAATATAAAAAAATGAATAATGATCAGTTTTGTTTGTATGCTTGATCTTATCTCCTGAGACTGAGTACAAGCCTGAACAGATCAAGAATCTAAGTTGACATAGTTTCTGAAAAATATTCTAGACATGAAGAAGAACATCGACGTCGTGAAGAAGAGATGTTACGCCAGAGGGAACAGGAGGAATTACGACGACAGCAGGATGGAGGATTTAAGCCAAATTTCATGGACAATGTAAGTAAAATTCCATGATGAAAGTCCAAATGGTAAAAGAATTGGTTTTATTGTAATATTTTTATATACAAGCTGTTGAGGTGTCGCCTTCTTGTTTACTGTTTTTCCTTCAGTATTCCATCGTTCTCATGAGTGGACTGGTACAAGTTTAGTAGTGTAGTTATTCTCTTGTATGATGGCATCACTGTTGTTTTTCCTACAAGCTGGTGATGTAACAGTTCAGTTAAGTGAAGGTGTTCAGGTAATTGGCCGTTTTTATTTGGGAAATGATTTTTTCCAATAAAATAATGGAATTTTTCTAGGTGGAAAGTCATGGGAATAAAGGATGTTTTCATGAGGAAGTGCCTTAGTTTGAAGGTTTAAATTTTAAACCAGTTCAGGCTGTTAAGCTTGTTTGAATCCTTGTTTTGGTTTATGCTTAACTTATTAAGAATAATATACTTCAGAAACAAAATTGGCAGTGTTAACTTCATATGGAGCCTAAAATGATGCTACTGTAAGGCTAGATGAGGAAAACCTCAAAGTCTTTACTGAATGAGACCAGAAAGGTTATAAAGGTGGAAGAAACCCCCTGTCCTCTGCTATAATTTCTACATTATTTATGTTAGTAATTCAGGTGTGTTCTGCCTTTGAAGGCACCTGCAGCAAAATGGTGATATCAGAGGAGTCAGCTTCCAAATTTTCATGATGATCTATTTTGGTCAAGGGTATGATTTTTTTTCCACCAACCAAAGCAGTTAAATGAACGCAACATCTATTGTGAATGCATTAGTTTCATGCGAGAAGGATACCTTTTACTGTTACAGCTATTCTTAGTGAGGAAGTGATGAATAAGCAATCCACACAACGCTTTTTTACGTTACTGTAACAGCTGTAGTCTGCAGGAGGGAATTTTGCTCCCCTTCACAGGTACAACTTGATATGTAAATCAAAAATAAATTGCTGGTTTCTCAGCTACTTTCTGGTTTTGTGGAAGAAATACCTATTTTACATTCTATACCATAATATTTTCTGTAGGGTTGAGAAGAATATAATATGTATGTTCTGAGACATCCTAAAAGAACTTAGAAAATCAGTTCCTGTTCTCAGCAGGACGTCTTTTTTCCCATCCTCTGCCACTTAGTCTTTTTAGTAAAGATGGGGAGGAAGCAAAATTGATGTTACTGACAGCTATCAGTTGATTTTGCTGATTGTGTTTTGAGAAACATGCAGCAGAAAACAATCATTTATTTCCATATGTGGCCACACTGTAAAAGAAAACTGCTTTCAGCATGTCTTTTCTTTGGGGTGGTGAAGAACAAGAATTCAAAACTCATAATGTCCTTTAGTGTGTTCCCACATATTGTGAAGCATACTTTGTGAAATAGCATATAACAGTTGTCTGATGTAATTTAGAAATAGCACTTACTGATTGTGACTTCTGTAGTGCCAAATATGAAACTTAATTTCACCCGTAATATCTTCACATAGCATCTTTTGGGGTGACCTGACTTTCTGACCCTGTAAACTACCTGTCGGAATCCTCCTGTAGTTGCTCTGAGACCCATGCTACTTGCTGCAGAGCCCTGCAGGAAGGGGAACCTGGGGACTCAAGCCGCAGGCTGGAGATGGCGGTAGCTCCCTCAAATTCGATTGCTGTGAGGAGAGTGTGGCCTATATCCTGCAGCTTGGGGTGATGGGGAAAGCTAGATAATGCTGGCCACAGCAACCTCTGCTGGTTTTCTTCTTGCAACTATCTTGAGATAATAATCGTTAGCCTGCGTGCTTGAACTGCTTGCCACAGTTTGGCCATCCTCATGCTTATTTGTGTATTTAAATTCCAAACTCTGTGTGAATAGAAACTGTTCAAGTTGGTGTGCTAGGCATCACAAAAATGAACCATTCCTCTTCCCTTCTTATGCCTCAAGTGGAAAGCACTTCAATCACTATGCATAATTTTTGCGACTTTTATGTGATCAAATTTTGGGTGGGGAAAAGTCAAGGTAGAAGAATGCCTCGGAAGAGTGTAACTTTCCCACTGAGTTGCGTTGCTGGAATTGTGTGTTCATCTGGAACTAATTAATACACTGCAAGAATATATATATAGATAGCTGTGCAGTGACCACCGTACCAAAAGCGTTGTAAGTTATATAAAGCAATATGTAATACAAGTGGTGTTTTTTTAATGTCATATGAGGTTGAAGCGGCATATACAGTAATTTAAAAAAAAAAGTTTTCTATAGTCTTCAGACTAGTCTTTAGTATTCTGGTCATGTGTTGACATACGTTTTACTTCTAATGTCCTTTGAACTTTAAAAGAAGGAGAATTGAAACAGAATAGGAAGTGATATATTTATTTACTTTCTTTAGCAACTGTAATAAGGGCAGCTATGTAACTCTGTGTGGCCTGTCATTTTATAGGCGTTCATTATACCATGTCTTTAGATAACTGTACTTAAATTGTGTAATGTGAATGGGAATTGAAAAAGCCTTTGCATTTTGCAGCAGAGAAGAATTGTAAACCATTTCTGGAGATTGCAAAATGGTACATCAAATATTTTTTTCCATTTAGTACAATTTCATATAGAACTAATTATTTTTTTATTTATTCTTACTAATACTTGTTTACTGTGAACAGACTCCATCTGGTAACTGCTAGTCTCAAATTACCTTTGTACATACACTGAAAAAAGTTACTCTCTGTTTTAAGAGTTTAAAAGTTGCCTCTTGGTGAAAACTGCATTTTATGATACTGGTGGCTAGTTTTTACCGTATCAGGTCTTGATAAACTCTTTTGGCATAATCCTTGTAACATATTAAAGTCTTCTGCCAGCCATGTATTTAGAAGGAAAATAATAATTGTTTCTAATCCTTGTTTTTATTTCTTAAAAGCTTTGAAAAGTAAGCTTCCTTCACTTATATCCTATCCTTTTTTACTGTTCAGTGTAAGAGAAGGACATAAACGGTAAGTGCAATGACAACCGGATTTGGAACCTCTCATATAATGCTACAGTATTAGGCTTTCCTGTTTAAAGTTTATTTCTGAATCTTTTCCCTAACTTGTTAAACTTTGACTTTTCAGTGTAAATACTTTTGCGAAACATCTTGTAATCAAGTTTAATGCAGTTACCAGTTACTCGATTTGGTTACAGACGATATAAATACTTTTTGTGGGGATTTCTCTTCCTGAAGCATTCTTGTTCATGGCAATACTGTCCATTAAAAATTTGATTGCATTGATTGTTAATCTAATGGGCAACCTAGTGATGCCTAAACATTTTATTAATCTAGTTGTGTTATCTCTAGTAGATAAAATATTGATACACACTTTCATATTGGTTAGGATTTTTCCCTTGCTTTGTAAAAGTCGGTTAGTTGAAATCTATTACAGTTCAATATATATACATTCTAATTTCACGATAGCTTAATCAGGAAACTTGTTTTCCTGTAATATTTTGCTAATTTTTATTTTTTGTATATATTTCTTGCTGATGGTGATTGGAAGAAATATTTTATTTTTCAAGAGCACAAATATTTTAAAAAGTAGTATAGTACTTCTGAGTGCTAGTAATATATTAATTATTCAAACTGTGCAATGGTTACTATCCAGTTGTGAATGGCTTACATGGATTTACATTGTTCAGTCTCAGTCAGAGCCTTTTTACCAAATAATTCCAATTCCAGGAACTACTTTTATTAATGTCACCAACTTGGAAGCGTGAAAAGAGAGTGATTTGGATTTAGTGTATTAAAATAGTTTTCATGTGTCTACAGAAGAGACCAAAATATGTAGGAGTTGTAGTCTTAGTTTTATGGTGCACAGATTTAATTCTGTAGTAACGCTGTGAAATAGTGTCAGATGGGTATTGTGCTTAACGAAACAATAGCTGTGATACTGGCCTGCAGCTTACAGCTCTTCTTACTGGTGATTTAAAGAGGGAGTTGAGATTTTTGTACCTCCTTGTCCACTTTCCTCCAAGGAAACTCCCCCTTTTTCAAGTATAACTTGTATATGTAAGGAACTGTTTCTTGTGAGTTCATCAGTTTCAACTTCTGAATGCTTACTGTTCTTTCATGCAAGACTTGGTATGTTAAACACTTTTTTTAATCTCCTAGTCTTTTCAAGAATTACCTCTAGATGTTGTTTTGCTTGCCTTTAATATTTCTTACACAAGCACTGCTGCTCGAGCATGTTGTGTAAGTATCAGGATAAAGAGGCAGCTGCTGAAGCAGTGGAGATTGCCTCAGCAGCAGAGATTGTAGTAGACTTGGATCAAAAACTGTAAGGCAAATGAGAGCAAGGGAGTCAAAACACACATCCCAAAACAACAACAAAGTTCATACCTTCACGAGTGCCAGAAACTTGATTGGGGAAAAAAGCCCCCAAACATATTTAGTCTTTATTCTAAGAGTTTGTCCTTCTTTGAGTGGTTACTAAATGTAGCTTCCCATTGCTTTATTATTTGGAGCCTACTGAATTATCTCTTATCCCTGACTTCTGCATTCACTTACAAGTTAAGTAGTAGACATTTTTGAAACAAGACTATCAGTTAGACTTCCTTGGACTTCTGTAATCAGGAATAGTTTTTTGCACTTCTTGGCTCTTAAATTAATAGAACCATATTTTTTTCTGTCTTCTGATTCCATTATGCTCAAAAGCCCCAGTTATGTAAGAAGTTTGAATTTTCACTGAATGCAGAATTGTTTCCTACCTTATTCAAATCTAAACTAAGCTAAGGCAGATTTCCAATAATAAATAAATAAATACAAATGTCAAAGAATCTTTTCAAATTTTACTTTACTACTACTAATAAATTTTGGTTATTTTTATCTTGACAGCGTAGTGTACTTAATGAAGCTGATGGTGATGAAGTTTTATGAGGTTGTATGAATAAAGTCTCTGTTCCTTAACAAACTGCTATAAAGCTAAGCTGCTTTATAAAAGCTCTTTTGTAGAGCTTGATCGGGAGACATGAATTACCTCCTTATTGCAATCCAGCATACATACTCATGAAAGAAGT